GTAACGGACCTACGACAACATTACGAGGAACGAAGTTAGGTTTTAGGGTAGGGAAGATTAGTAACACTCCTACAAATTCAATTAAAGTTTACGAGACACGCTAATAATAGAACTTAATTTTTTTTTTTATCTTGTGTGTGTGTGTGTATACACTTAAATAATTGAATATACAATTAGGAAATATTAATATTTTTGATATAACTAATTACTAAGAATGAGTATCATTAATTATTTATTAAGTTAAAAAGAAAAAGAAAAAAAAAAAGAGAAGGAAAAAGCCTAAAGCCCATAAAGTGGGAAGGCAAAAGGCAAAGCCTTAAATAAAACAAAAGTAAAAAGCCTGAAGGCTAAAAAGCCTTAACAGAACAAAAGGCTTAAACGTTCATTCAGCAAAGGTAGAAGGCTAAGAAGTCTTTTACGATAAACTGAAACAGAGCGCTACAAAACAGAGGCAGCGACTCACGCAGTCAACGAAAAAAAATCTAGGGTTCTTTACAAATCACTTATTATTGAATTCGGGTATATAAAATTCCCTATTGTCAATTACCCTAAGTAGTAATAGGTAAGAATTGAATAGTTAATTCCCTTCTTTCTCTATATCAACAGTAAAGTTCCGTGTTTAGGTGCGAAAATTTAAAATTAATTAAAATGCACTGGTTGTTGTAGAATCGATTGTTTGACTGGTGTCAATTGGACTGGGGCCTACGTATTAGCTCGAGAAGTTTTGAGGTGAGTTGATATAACCCTTTACCAAAGTGGTTTAACTCACAAAACTATGCATACAAGGTGTTTGATGAATTGGCTAAAAGAGTGAATATGTACTTAATTGAAGTGAGTGAGTACCTATTAGCTTAGAATTATTTTAGTTAAAGTTTAGATGATTTATTCTGACATATGTGCTTAAATTTTCAGATTTTTTTGTGTAATTCTTATAGGCCATTTTCATGTTGAAAAAGAAAATTCCATGAAGAAGCAAGAATCTTTAGAAATACTTTTGAATGTTTATTTCATTCTTATGACATACTTTACATTTAAGGATTTCAGTATGAGCACGTTTAAAAGATTTAGACTTGAAAAAGTCACAAGAAGAAGTTTTAGAAAGAAAAGATTTTTGGGAGTATCCTTTATTCTGAGAAGGGGTCATCGTCCAGGCCGAAGGTCCTGACCAAGGCGTTGACTTCCTGAAACTACTTGTGCCAAAGTAGGGAGCACACAAGCCGAGGGTCTCGTTGCTAAGAATTTACTTAGCCAGGCTAAGGTATGATACATGAGCGCTGAGAACCATGAAGCGAGTTGTACCTCGTGGATTGGGCCTATTCGATCAGGTTGGGATCGATCCCGTGCCGATCACACGGGGACTAAGACAAAAATAAGTCAGGATAGTTGGAACTCCCAAAGTATAAAGTGAAGTATTTTTTTTATTATAAGAAAGAAAAAGAAAAAAATTTCTTTTAGAATATTCATAAACTGCTATTATGCAATTATTTTAGAATTGTTCTTATAAGCTTTATGTTTTACATGCATTTAGAATCTTTGCTCGTAATTTATATGTTATTAAAGTTTCATCCCCTGTCGTTGAGACTCACTGAGTACAATGGATGGTACTGACGTTCTCTTTTGGGAACCTACGTTGGTCTGCGGTACAACGTAGGAACCGGTTTTGCAGGCGAGCAGGCTACGGGTTAGGACTTCCTTCTCTTCCAGTGCTATTGGTGAGCTCCGCTTTGGTTCGTGGAGTATTCCTTAGAGTCATCTTTACTTAGCTATTTCATTGTTTACTTAGAGAACTGGCCAGAAAACCTCATGTCCTGAGCAGTGCGTCAGTTTATCAGTAGAGGCTTCATAGACACAGTCGGTGGGTCAAGATTTAGATGTTTTTGATATTAACTTAGCAGTATTTCATTGGTTACTACAAAATAAAGCTTTGGAGATGGTTTGTTTTAGATATTTAAATTAATTAAAAGTATTTGGTTACAGTATTGCCTTCTGGCATATAAAGTTTGAAGTTATAATAGATCTGGTAAGCGCAGATGGTTCGCTCGGTCATGTTTAGTGATCGGGTGTCGGTCCCGGCTTATTCAGAAAATGGGTCATGACAAGGTAATTGTTGAATAACATCAATCCTAACGTATGTGAGAGATCAATACGGAGGGTTTAAAAGGGGGGGGGGGATTAGAGATAACGAAACCTTGGTGCGATCATAGTGAGCGGTGAATTAGTGCTAGCTAGTGTAGTTTGAGAGAATACATCTAGTAAATTGTAGTAGTTGCTCGAGAGAGAGCTACGTCACTCAGAGTACTCACAGTCGGTAGAGAATATTTAGGCGAAATTATAGAAAACGTAGCGGGAAGGATTCCAACAATTGGGAAAATCATAACTCTAGACCTCCTAATCTTTTCTCCAACCCTTAGCATCCATAGTTTTTGATTTACTTCTTTAATTTGTTAGTTAATTAGTTAGACATAAAAATCTTAATATTATAACTTAGGAATTGTTCGAGCTTGTCTTGCAAGTAATATTGAACAGTTATAGTGAAACCTTAGTTCTCTGTGGGATTCAACTCCGGACTTTTAGACCGGATTATATTTGCAGCGACCACTTATCCTCTTTAGGACTAGAGTTGGGCGTGATCATCGCGCAAACAAATATAATTGTGTGAACGAATACGGTAAATACATGTTGTATTCGTAGCGCGAACGAATACATTTGACACATGCAATATTCGTTGCACGTCTAATACAAGTGATACTTTGGACCATTGAAATTGCTTTTATCTTTCGAGTTTCATAGACAGAAAATCAACCGTCCAGATCAACATATCACTTAACCATGATTTATTTATGAAATTTTTACCTTCTATAGAAAAGGTTGATACCTTCTTTATTTTAAATAAATACCCTTTTAAAAAATTATATTCTATAGATACCTTTTGATTTTTATAGCCAAATATCTATTTATGGTTACCTCCTACTCTTAAGCCATAAAATACTCTTTGTATTATTTTTCTCTCTCATTCTTTCAGATCTTTTACAATCCAATTTGACTGATCTAACTGTTGAGCACGAAGAAGAACACGGCCTTAAAAACAGGCAATTCTCAGTTGCATCAGTTCCTCATGAACTCATCAATTCAGTGGACGATACCATACAATTCAAGCGATTGAATATCCAGAAAATAATAAGTGGTAATCACGAACCCTTTGCTTGACGTGAGATCACAAACCCAATAAGTGGTATCCAGAATACAATTGAAGCCATTGAACCCTTTGCTTGACGTGAGATCAAGAAAAGAATAAGCACCAAATTCTCAATGGTAATCGATGACAAGGTCTCAATCGAAGTGGAAGACGATATAGTAGACCAGATACTAGGTGGATTATTTCGTTGCTCGACGACGGATTCACCGAAAATTAGGGTTTGTTCTTGAACAAAGACAACGGGGTTTGGGGCTAAGCAACTTGATTTTCTGTTAATATATTTGCAATGTATCACGCTGTATTTTTTGTATTCATTGTCTTTTTTTTCATTGTAATTCAATATATCTCGTTGTATTCCATGTATTTCATTGTATTCATTGTCTTTTTTTCCCATTGTATTTCAATGTATCCCGCTGTATTATATGTATTTCATTATATTCACTGTCTTGCTATATGCAATAAATGTATTCATATATTTTTTAATTAATATAATTTATGTATTCAGATGTATTATATAATTTCTCTGAAGATTGCTATGTTTTTGGGGTATTTTTCGGTTGAGAATCTTTTTTAAAACTGAAAATACAAAATTTGTGTGTTATAATTGAGTTTGTTGAGTTATATTAGGAGTCTATTATGTTAATTGATTCACTTTCCGTTTTAAAAACAGTGTAATCCCCTATTTCACGCCGTGAATACAGTCGAATACAATAATCTGTCCAGCTGTAATCCCATGTTTCAGTCCATGAATACAGTCGAATACACTCGAATACAACAACTGATTAGCTGGACTTCCCTGATTCACGCCTATTTTTGCTACTGTATTCATGAATACAATAGCTTAAATACATCAAATACATCTTATAACCACACAAAAGGTATCTATAATCCGTAATATAGCAAATGGTATCTATAGATGGCTAATTACTACCAAAAGATAGTGCTTTGTGAGAATTTCTCTTTATTTATCTATTTATTTGCACACTTTACTTTATAACTCAACTACAGTAAATTCATGTGGTTTGGAGTAACCATTGGGTGTGAATTAGTTTTCTATATTTGCAACAGTATTAGTATGTCTTTTATGTACAGTAGTGTTTTAAAAGACGAGAAATAATATGCAGCATTATACCTAGGATGAGGGGGCATGTACGCCTTCAAACATGTCGTAAATAAGCCCCGTTATAGACATACATTAGAATATGTGATTACAGAGCTCCACTTCAGACTTTTAGTAGTAAAATTACAAATATTTTTAATTCTTACATCATGTCGATTTATACTATACCATTAGTAGAAAAGGTTATAATAAGCAAAAATGCTACCAACTGATTTTTCTCAGAACGCGACCAAGCTTTGCATTTATCAATATGACCTTTAAAACGTCGCAAAAAATTTAAGTGTTTCTATTACATTTATATGATTTCAGAGAAATACTAATGGAAAATCTTTAGTTCTTAGCGACATTTGAACTGAAAATTATATGGTAAATGCAAAACAAGATCGTGTTCAAAGGGACCATCTGGCATATTTTGTACTTATTCTTAACACCCCCACCCCCAAAAATGTTTGTTGATGATATAAATATTTCTAAATCACATATTTCCAATATAAAAACTTAAATTCTTAGCAACATTGAACTGAAACTCATACTATACTTTTCTTAACTATCCAATCTTGAAAACTAGACTAATCTGAATTCGCGCCCGGTACTAAGTCCATTACGTCAACGACCTAGCTTTCTCCCTAAGTAAATACTTCTGAATCTTCCCAGTTGCTGTCTTTGGAAGCTCTTCTTCAATTACCACAGTTCTTGGCACCATATAAAGTGGCAAATTCTCTTTACAAAAATCTCTTAATTCCTTCTCTGTCAGCTTTTCTGCATCAGTTTTCAAACTAATAAAAGCACAAGGTGTTTCACCCCAATAATTGTCTGGTTTTGCTACAACTGCAGCTTCATTTACTGCTGGATGTTTGTACAAAATTGACTCCACTTCTACACTGCTTATATTCTCTCCACCACAAATTATAACATCTTTTAATCTGTCTTTTACTTCTAAGTAACCATCTGAATGCATTACTCCAACATCTCCTGTGTAAAACCATCCATCATTTCTCATGCATTTTGATGTTCCTTCTGGGTCTTTAAGGTACCCTAGCATTACACTACCTGTTGGAACAAAAATTAGAAGCAGAAGCGTATCTGAATTCGAGAGAAAAACAATGAAATTGGTAATAAACAATTGATGTATTTGGTAGGAAAGGGCTGATAAGCTGTCCCTTTATTAAAATGACTGAAATACCCTTAAATTCCTTACATAAAAATTTAAAGGGCAGCCTGGTGCTCTAATTAAGCTCCCGTTATACACGGGGTCCGGGGAAGGACCGGACCACAAGGGACTATTGTACGTAATCTTACCCTGCATTTCTGCAAGAGGTTGTTTGCACGGCTACACAAAAAAAATTATAGATTTAAAAGTATCTTTGTAAATAAGAGGGTCGAAGAATATGATGGAGAGAAAATTAGGAGTTTTTTTTAAGATAGATATTTAAAGAATTAGAAAAAATATTAAGGATAAAATAGTAAAAGTTTTAGTCAAAGTAAAAGTGTTTATAAGCTAATAAGTTGGAGTTGACCAACTTATGATTTTTGGCTAATTTTGACGTATAAAGCACTTGACTTATAAACTCTTTGAATATATGCAAACCTAGATAAGGAAAAAGGTATTTATAGGCCCGTTTGACCAACTTATAAGCCTTAACCATACAATCTCTATGTCCTATTTAACTTTAAATATTATTAAAATGACTTTTAATTTGGACCAAACAGCTTATGATGACAAATACTCTCCCCCGTCTTAATTTATATGATACTCTTTTTTTAGTTTATCTCAATAAAAATATCATATTTTTATATTTAAAAATAATTTAATTTTAAAAATTTCCTTTACCTTTAATGAGATGAATTACAGTCATACAAATATCTAAGGCTTAATTTAGAACACAAGTTTCAAAAGTACAGTCAGACTTCTCTATAATTAACAACATCCCTACATATATAACAGCCTTTCACTATAAAAATCAGGTTTTCCTCGGATTTATGTTATGTTATAATATATGTCCTATATAACAGAACCTCACTGTAGTAACCAAAGATGATCGAAACAAACGAGGCTGTTATAGAGAAGTTTGAATGTATTCATTTCTTTCTTAAACTTTATATCTAGTCAAACGATATCACATAAATTAAGACCGGGAAGTAATTAACATATATGTGCAAGTCCATAAATTCGAAAAATTACCTCCTCTCAAGACGATTTCTCCAATTGCTATACCATTTCTCTCAATGCTAATTCCAGTTTCAAAGTCTACTACATCAACCTCTGTAAATCCTACCATTCTCACACCTTGTCTTGATTTAAGCTGTGCTCTTTCTGACTGTGGCAAATGATCCCATTCTTGTTTCCATGCACATGTCACTGCTGGTCCTCCTGTTTCTGTCAATCCATAACCATGACTTATTACAAACCCTAAAGATTCCGTTCTGTCGAGGACGGCGGGCGGCGGTGGCGCTCCGGCGGTGTATATGTGAACAGGAGAATCAAGTGGTTGCCTTTTTGGATAGGTAGATAGCATATTTAGTACTACTGGTGCACCGCACATGTGAGTTACCTGTTGCAACAGACAGAATTAAATAGTACAGTAGTGATTAATACTCTTATCTATTCAGATAAAGTTGTCATGTTAACTTTTCACCCTCTCTTTTTTTAATAAGGGCAGCTCGGTGCACTAAGCTCCCGTTATGTGCGGGGTATGGGGAAAAGTCAGATTACAAGGGTCTATAGTATGCAGCCTTACCCAACATTTCTGCAAAAGGCTGTTTCCACAGCTTGAACTCGTGACCGGCCTCCTGGTTACATGGCAGCAACTTTACTAGTTACGCCAAAGCTCCCCTTCACCACCCACTCTTTAACAAATCATTAATAATGGTCGTTTGGTTGAACAGATAAGGGATAATAAATCCCTAGATAAAATGCGAAATTATTTTATCTGGCGTTTAATAGGGTTTTTGATTTCAAATTAGTAATTTCGTGATTATTTGTAGTATAATTATGCTATTATTTTTATACCATACTTTATATTGAATAACAGTTCCGGGATCACTAATCCCAATATAAAACACCAATATGACAAAGATGTCCTCCAAAATTCTTCTTCTAAAGTCCGTTAAGAACATTAAGATTAAAATTGAAAATAAAGATCCAAGTTAATCTAGCGTAAAACCAAACACGTGTAAAATATTATATCCAGAATATTCCATTTTTAGTCCAGTACTGAACCAAAACTCTATTAATAAAAGCAACCCACTAAATAATTTTGTCATTATTTAATTTCAGTATTATAATTTTGGAATTATAATTCTGGTTTGTTCACAAACCAAACGATCTCTAGAAGTTATTTGACTAATTTACCGATATTTATTCATTGATCTTTACCACATTGATTTTCCAATAAATGCTAACTCTATTAATGATCTCACCTCCAACGATAATCAAAATGAATTTTTGCGCATGTGATCGATAAGAAAAAAGAACCTGACCCTCACGTGAAAAGACATCTTAAAAAATAGTAACTAAAAGCGTGTTTTTCCTCACACAATATAAACTTTTAGACGACGACGACGACAATAACAACATACCCAGTATAATCCCACATAGTGGGATCTGGGGAAGGTAGTGTGTACGCAGACTTTACCCCTACCTTGTAGAGGTAGAGAGGTTGTTTCCAATAGACCCTCGGCTCAGGAAAACATAGTAAACTTTTAGACGAGACGATCAATATCAGAACATTACCTTATGTTGGTGAATAGCTTCATATATTGAAGAAGCATCATGACCTCGACGAAGACATACGTTAGTTCCACCAACAGCAGCCATTCCCCAGCAAAATCCCCAACCATTAGCATGAAAAATTGGCAATGTCCACAAATACACTGGTTGTTTCGGCACAAACCAATCAATTAATCCCATAATAGCCATTGTAAATGCACTTCTATGACTATGAAGTACACCTTTTGGTGCATAAGTTGTACCAGAAGTGTAATTCAGTACAATTGGTTCCCATTCACTATCTGGTGTTATCATTTTGAAACTCGAATCGCCTTCTTTTATCATGTTTTTGTAGCTGTTATGAAACTTATCATCGAAAAATGAGGAGCCTTTATTGTTCTGATCATCATCTTCAATAAGTACTAATTTTGGACGTTGTACGTTGGGTGGAAACAGAGAAAGTGCTTCAACGACTAAAGAAGTTGATTGAAAATCCACGAATATAAGTTTTGCTTCACTATGTTGAAGCAAAACAGATAACGTACGTGGATCAAGTCGGAAATTTATGTTGTTGAGGATTGCACCGGACATTGGTACAGCGAATTGGAGTTCGTACATGGCTGGAATATTAGGAGCTAAGACGGAAACAACGTCGCCTTTTTTAATACCAAGAGATGAAATGGAAGATGCTAATTTTAAGCAACGAGTATAAGTCTCAGACCATGTGTAAGTTATGTCATTGTACACAATTGATGTACAATTTCCATAAACAATAGAAGCTCTTTCCAAGAAATCTACAGGTGAAAAAGGACATGCATTTGCAGGTCCCTTTGGTTTTTTCTTGGTCGCGCTTCCATTTTCTTGGAAAATTTCAGGACTGACAGGATTCAAGGCTAGTGAAAATCTGATTGAACTTTTTCGTAATTTCTTTAGTTCAGTACCATTTCTTGATTTAAGGAGTGGAATTTCCAATGGTTTGGAATATATGCCAAAGGAAACCAAGTCATAAGCATTAAGACATGGATTTTGTATTGTGCTTGGCCTTAATATAACCATAATTTGGTGTGTTTTTTTTCCCCTCTTTTTTTCTTTCTTTCTATGGGTTATATAAGAAGTTTCAGCAACGATATATATGGTGCTATATATAGCAGAAGTTGGCCACATATATATACACACAAAAAAAAAAATGGCCACTTTACATTAGAACTTTGACTAGAAAGATAGAACAAGATTAAATGCTGAACGTCCCACCTTTAATTTGTAGTACTATTTATTATCCAGCCCAATTGTACCTTTGGAATTTTCTGTACACCCTTTTACAACGATATTTTATAATTTTAGTCATAAAAATATTTATCTAAAAACCTTTATCTGTTTAATTATCACTCATTTATAAACACTTCACTAATAGAACCAGTTAGGATTAATTTAGAAAAATTAATAAATGTTTATAGTTTTTCTAAAATGTCAAATATTTTGTATTGTATTTATTTACTACTTAATAAACAGTTCAAATTTGTCCATATACTATTCAAAAATTTTCAATTTTACTATCATTAGACTTTTGGTGTATTCACAACTTTTGCAGTTAAAGAAATTATCTCATTTTGTCCTTATTATTAACGGAGCTCCAGCGTGACATGGGTAGGCTTCAAGTGTCTAAATTCTTTGCGAATATATTTACCCTTAACTTTTTTACTGAAAAATTTAATATTATAACCTATTCAAAGTTATCAATCAATATTATTAAAGGGCAAAGCGGCATGTCCGTGCACAAAGCATTTCGCGTTCACGCGAGACCCAAATAAGGACCGTACCCCAAGGGGTTTGATGTAGACATCATATTTTAATGGTTGTTTTCACAGCAATCAATACTACTTAGTATTAAATATCCTGTAGAGGTGGATAAGAGTGTCGTATCTATGACAGGTAGGTTAATTTATGATCGAAATGAATGCTACAACGAATACCGGTACGTAGGTCAATGGCGCAATAGAAGTTCCATGATCCTTAAGTAGGTGGCTGCAATTAACAGCAATTTGTAGCAGGAAACTGTACCTCCAATTTCTGCAGACATTGAAAATTGCTGCCAAAGTTTCTTTGATGATTCTAAAAAGTTACTTTGAAAGTACGTAGATGTAGTTATAAGCAGGGACATAGCTAGAGTACAATATAGCTAGAGTACAATTTATGAGTTTGGAAGAATTAAGTACTGTTAATCAAGCTCTATAATTATATTAAGAAATTTACGTAATATACAATAATAACAATAAATTCAGTGAAATCCTCCAAGTGGATTTAGGGAGAGTGGTGTGTATGCAGACTAGGGGTGTACGTGGACCGGGTTGGTTCGGATTTTATCAAAACCAAACCAAACCAACTATATCGGTTTGGATTGGTTCGGTTTTGTCGGGTTTTTCGGATTTTCGGGTTTTTTTGTTACATGAATATTATTTCAATCTTACTTTGTTAAAATTATAGATAAAACTTCGATAAGTGAATATATGTTTTGTAAATATGGAAAAATATATGATCTATTAAAATATTTTTATGGGAGAATTTTTTTATTACACATGATAGTTATTTTCTTAGTCGTCTAACAATAATTTTTCGTTAATTTACGCTTTCAAGGTTAATACATGAGAGGATTCCAAATATTTCAACATTTTCTAAAGAAAATTCACTATAAAGTCTTAAAAATATAAATAAAATTTATATATTTATATGTCGGTTTGGTTCAGATTTTTTTACTCAATACCAAACTAAGTCAAACCAAACCTAGTCGGGTTTTTTAATCGGTTTGGTTTGGTTTTTCGGTTTGGTGCGGTTTTCCGGTTCGGTTTGAACACCCCTAATGCAGACTTTACCCACCTTGAGACCGGGGCTAAGCCACCTTTTGCTAAAGGCGGTCAATTGACCACCCTTCATCGAAATATTATGAAAAACTACATTGTATATGTCAGTAAAATATTAGTTTTAGATGTATATAACATATATTAAACGCCCGTTGTCAGGAGATTTTTTACTTCTTTCAAGTCTGAACACCCTTGGAGAATTCGCCACTCACTTGAGATGGTAAAAAGACTGATTCTGATAGACCCTTGGCTCAATAAAAAATGAAAAAAAGAAGCAGTAGCAACTAGCAGTAACACTAACAAGATAATAAGAAAGCCAAAGCGGAAAAAAAATAGCTAGTAATAGAAATCTTAGAATAAAAAAATACAAGACTAACATTAATACTACTAGTATGTACAAGGAACACGTTCAACTATCTATTAATCTAAAATATTTACTTAATATGTATGTATAAATAATTTATTCAAAATCCAATAAACTGCCTTTTCAGAATTTAGAACTCATGGTTGTTTCCAATAGACCCTCGGCATCCTTCCTTCCAAGAACTCCCTACCTTGCTCTTGGAGTAACTCGAACTCACAATCTCTTAGTTAGAAGTGGAGATTGCTTATCATCAGAGCAACCCATATTGTCTATCGGTATCTTAATGTATAATATAAAATCTGATCTACAGTGTGATGATATGACATATCTCTTAAACCAGTTAGGCATTTATCAATTTTCTTTAATTTTTTTCTGTTGACATGTCTAAGTCTTCTTTTAATGACTTATATTACACACAACCGATGTTTCCAGGGTCCGGCCAGTCTAGAAGTCTAAATTACAAGTTGAAGATTTCATCAGAAAGTACTCTATCATGAAACTAGTGGAAATTGGATATCTATCCCTCAAAATGCGCCAGTAAACAAGTGAAACTATTAATGATCCATTATATTTGGATCTGACTCTAGTTATGACACCTAAACCCAGAGGAAAATGATGATTTTTCGTGATGAAGGAAGGCTTCTTGATTTAGCGAAACCAGAATTTCAAACTTATACGTTCGGAAGATGAGTTCTTTTAAGTTGTAAAATTCAAAAACATACATTTAAATGTATTTTTAAAGACCAATAGAGGAATTGGACAAGCTACTGGGTTCATCAAACTCATAACCCATATTGTAGCTTTGCCCCTGCATACAGGGAGTAAACACCTTATTCCAAGTAGTGTCATGTAACACCGCTTCGTTAAAACTTTTCGAGAATATGTGTATAGATAATAATAAAAATAAAAATAAAAGGTATAAATATAAAAATGACAGCGGTTGTAGTTATAATAATTTATTTATTTGTTCACTTTTTAAAATTTTGTACTGCTTGCAAAATTCTTGTGTGCGCCACTGCCTGTATACATCAATATTTTAAATGGCAAAGTTGGGACGCCTAGCGACAGTCATGACTTTGAGAATATTATAATTCAAAAGAGTGCTAATAACTTTAAGGGACGTTTGGTATAAGGGATAAAAATAGTAATCTCGAGATAGAATTTGAACTTACATTTATCCAATATTTAGTTATAGGTATTAACTAAGCTAGCGTTTGGCCATAGATCTCAAATTAGTTTTGAAAAATCAGATTTGGGTGAAGTTTGGTTTGAAGATGAAAATGTGTTTGGATATACGTTTTCAAAACATATTTTTCCAACATTATTTTGGATAAACATGTATATAATTCCCAAGTTTTGGAATTTTGACCCAAAATCAGCTCAATATCTGATTTTGAGATTTGAAATTTGGGATTTGGGATTTGGCCAAAATATGGGCAAAATTTATGACCAAACATAAGTTTTGAAAATAAATCCCATATTTATTTTGGCAAAACTCATGGCCAAACGGATCCTAATTAAATTGAATTGCACGTCGCAACAAAGACTTTTGGATCAATGACAATATTTTAAGTGACTCATACTCAAGACGTAGGGGGCTAGGTGCATGTATAAGAATGTAAAAAAAAAAAAAAGAAAAGAATTTGAATATTTAACCAAAAGCGTTTAAAGACAATAAATTAAATGCTCCAAAGATATTTTATAAATCTCTTTCAAATCTTTACATAATCTTTATGCCACTCAATCAAGAAACCTATATTGCTCTGTATTATTTAAAATGCTAGAGGAAAAGCAAGTACAAAAATCAACACTACCACTAGATTATCTTTCACGATAAAAAAAAATGGAGGGCTACTATTTAAAAGCATGCTAGTTTTAATTGCGCATTTGATGAACATTTAATAGGAGACAGGAGTAAGGAAAAACCCCATCACATTAACTACTAAGTAATCCCATCAAATTGACTACTAAGTACTTTCTTTAGCTATATATTAGCAATAAAAGCTAGTACGTAATTTGGTCTTAGGTAGCCCCACATATTTCATTCTTCTGTATTTGGTTTTAAAAATTTATAACTAATCGGGACATTATTTTATTGAAGTTAATAAAGTGAGCATTTGAAGATAAAGTAAAAAAAATATTTTAAATTTGAAGTGGTTTTTAGATAGAATTTCACTTAGAAAAAGATTAAAAATTTTGTTAATAAAAACCAATTTCATTTGAAATACTCTTTAAATGACAAATTATTGATTTCACATATTGATTTGTAATTAAATAATATTTCAATATTTACAGATGATATTAGGTTGAAGTATGTACAAAATAAGAAGAAGGCAAAATTAGCGCGCGCAAGAACACAGGTGACATGGACAACGGCTCAATAATAAGCGCGCGCAAGTACAATAATTTTGGATTTTTCTTTTTAAACAATTAGGAAAACAATAATAAATTAAAAAGAAAGAAAGGCCCCATCCCATCCCTTTCTATACCAGTACACCCTTTCCCCCTTCTTCCTCGATCTGTATAATAAGGGCAAAAGAGACGAAGCAACCGCCATGGCTGCAAACCTCAGTTGCACCATCAAAATAGTGCCTTCCGGGTCACCCCGTCAAGATAGGGGCCACTCTATTTGCCCCGACGAACTCTAGACAATCTTAATCAATAATAATAATAATAATAATAATAATAATAATAATAATAATAATAATAATAATAATAATAATAATAATAATAATAATAATAATAATGTCACGACACAATTCCTCTCTGCGTGAACTGTCGTGACGGCACCTAGTCTCTACGACTAGGTAAGCCTAACACATTGCGGAAGTAAAAACAAAAGCATGAATATTAACTATTGGTAATACGAACTATCCATTAGGCAACTAGATGCCACTCGGCATATACAGTTAACACCTC